CAGAACAACTTACTTCTAAAGGCAAAAAGTTTTGGAGTGGTATGAAACGTTGTCCATATGAAATTAAATTTGATCCTAAAAATACATTACATATGGATTTCATATATGCTGCGTCAAATTTATGTGCCGAAATGTACAATATTTCACAGGTAAAAGATCGACACAAAACTCAAGACTATGTAGCAACAATAGAATTGCCAGGATTTATCAACGGATTTTAAAAGAAAAATTTTTAGGTTTTTCCGAGGTGATGTGGACGTTTTTGACAAGAGGCTCCCGAGGATTTTCTGTCATTTCCACAAAACTTCGACGACGGTTCATGGTAGAAAAATCAGTGACAGTGCATTGAGCACGCTATGCTGGAAAAGTGCGTTTCGATCGTGCACTGCCTCATAGAGGAACATCTCCTTTACTCATTATCACGAATTCTAGACCTTCATCTATTATGATCCGGGAGATATAGACATTCTCCGAGGACATACCTATCTGTCCATCTGCATGTCTGGAGGCTTTAAAAATACACGATACATAGATATTCAAATGCGCTGATCATCGTGGTAGTGTTTATTTTTGTCGACACTTTGAAGCAACTGCAGCTGACTCATTTTTTTAAAAATCAAGATTTATCCCTACGGCTAAATTATGAGCGCAATGCATAAAACATAATTCAACTCCAAACAATTAGTTTTGAATTTGGTATGAGCAGGCACGTAGCCAGGGTTTTTGGATATGCTGGATCTCAACTTCAGAGCATGGGACCCAGATAAACCTTATGGAGGATGATATTGGGCCCAAATGATGAATTTCTAACAAAAAACCTTTGCGATCGGAGTTTGCGGAAAAAAAAGTTTTGTCTTTGGGCACCCCCCTCAAATTTTTTTTGTCTTTTTTAGTATTCCATTTCTTAGAATTTTATCGTAATCTCTCAAAAATTCAAAACGTTATAACTCCCGAACGGATGCATATTTTTAGATGCAATTCGATGTAGATTATGATAAAATTCTAAAAAATGGAATACTAAAAAAGACAAAAAAAATTTGAGGGGGGTGCCCAAAGAAAAAACTTTTTTTTCCGTAAACTCCGATCGCAAAGGTTTTTTGTTAGAAATTCATCATTTGGGCCCAATAACATCCTCCATAAGGTTTATCTGGGTCCCATGCTCTGAAGTTGAGATCCAGTATACCCCAAAATCCTGGCTACGTGCCTGGGTATGAGACTTCAAGAGACTTCCTTGAAAAAATCAGATGTAAATCATTATCTTTGAGAGTTTTTGATAACTTTTATCATTTAGGCCAAATAAAATCGTTGCAGAGATTTTCGAAAAACATCGGAGTTCTTTATGCGTTGAAACAGATAGTAGTGTTAAGTAATACTCTTGCTTTCTACTTCGCGCTTTTGATGTTCTCATTCTATTCTTTTTCAAGCCATATGTTATGTCGTGATGACATACAGACACCAAATGATTTTCATGTACCGTGTGCAAGTTTTCTTACTGCGTAGAGTAAACACAAAAAAATCAAGTTACTTTTACTACCTAACACTAGTCAGACTATTAGTTAGAAATTGTAAAGAGATGTACAATTCTAAAAAAACTATAAAAAGCATTTAAAAATTCTCTAACATACTTTTATCACTTCTTGTGCTGCTGTTCCACCAATAACACCCTGCATTGGACATAAATCGCCTGTACATATTTTTGCCAATAGTTTTATTAGATGTTTATCTAATTTATTTGTAATAGAATTATCAGACATTTTACAATTAATTTCAGATGCTGACACATAAAACTTTTCGGCGTCGTCCTGAAAACAAAGAACAGAAAAGCAATCAGATTTGTTGATCGTTGATACTAATTTTCATCTACTTTCAAAATACAAGGGACAATACTACGAAAATTCTCGAAAAACGACAGGACTAAACAAGGTTTCAAGAATTTAGATGGAGAAAGCGTGTCTGTTTGTGTAATTACTCAACTGTTAGATTTCAACAAAACATAAGTACCTACATCATTCCATGGTTTTGGTGCTCTACCATATGTTTGTTTAAAATACGGCAAAGTTTGAAATGCGACGTGCAAATTATCAGATATGTACATCCGAGAATAATCGAATATTAATATTTCTGGATCTAATAATGATTCCGAATAAGTTTTCTAAAGTAAAAAGCAATAAATTATTAACTGAGGGTTTATGTTTACAGAGTCGTGCATACTTATATTTTCAGGAAAAATATTCATAATGAAATGGCTAA